TTTTTTATTTTATTATTTTAATCGAATATACTGCGATAATATAAATACAGAATATTTAAATGTAGTTAATTTTTATGAAAATTTGACTGTTTAATTGTTGCATTTGAGTTTCATTTTAGCTCATGTGCAGAATTTTACGGCGACTCTCAACAACTATGATAATATAAGGTATTATGAATTATGATAACTACATGCAATGTTTTTGGAAAAATTGATTAACCACGCCTTATGCAAAATGCGTCTTAAGAGGACGCTACACCYGCATATGTTGTCTCCGTCTTACAAGTACGTAACATACCAAATTTTATGCTCAGCAGATCACGTTTAGCTCCGTTAGTAAAATTTAGAGTAAATTGACCTCTTACAAAAATTAAAGGTAACATTATTATCGAGGGCATGACGTAGGCTTTTTATTATATTTTAATTTTAAAGTGAGTTATGTGTATTTTTAAATTGTAAATTGTTTGTATATCTTAAAWTACACATAACTCCCTTTAAAATTAAAATATAATAAAAAACCTAGTCATGCCTTCGATAATAATGTTACCTTTAATTTTTGTTAGAGGTCAATTTACTCTAAATTTTAAACTGACGGACCTAAAGGTGATCTGCTGAGCATAAAATTTGCTATGTTACGTACTTGTAAGACRGAGACAACGTATGCGGGTGTAGCGTCCTCTTAATTGAAAAAAAAAAATATTTGTTTCAAAATAGAATATATGACAATATTTAGATATAATATATCCTAGACTGACAAATCGTCTCAACACAGAATCGTTTTTCGTATACAATGATACYTATCATTGCATTCAAATCTGACCTACCCTAGTCAGAGGTCCACCCCACCACCTAATGTACAGCAGAKCGATACCCACKTTCCCGCTTTTTTTTTGTTATTGTTATTAAAAATATATTTCAACACGTTAGGTACTATTACAAGTAAAGTAAATTACATCCCATTAAATTAAATACATATACAATTGATATAATACTGTTTCTCTTAAAGTTAGAATCGTGATTCTTGAACAACTTTCGATTATGCTCTATTTAAATGGGTTCTAGGACAAAAGTTTATGGAATCAAATATATTCAACGTTGTAATACACAACATATTTGTACATCAGTTTTGTTTAAATTTTGAAGTTCTGTAATACTGTTTAATGTATATATTGCACAAGWCATAATATTATTATAATTTTTTAATTGTTGACAAAGATAACGTTAAGTTTTATCTTATGCAATAATCATCGCTTTGAAAGTTTAGAATAATTCTAGCATCTGGATTTTAACTGCGTTATTATAATTGAACAAAAAATCTTTAAGGCTCGTTAAAAGTGAATATATAAATAGCCGTTTAGCTTATATTGGATAATTGTATTTTTGATAGTGGTAAACCATACGAAATGTTACAATTTAATTTTCTAATTATGAATTGCGTGTTTAAATTGATTTATACA